CTGAGATGGAATGTGATGAAAGGATAAAGTGTTCCCCGCTGAGCAATCCCTTTTCCAGAGGCATCACGACTTATACTTGCCGTTCTAAATAGTACATTTTTAATGCGATTTGGCCTATACAACGACTTCCGAGAGTCGGCCGATGACAAGTCAGTACACCACCTCTCAGACAAGTTGGTAGCAAAAATAACTGATTCAGAGGGTATTGAAGACACAAAATATCTTAGAAAACAAAAAAAGCAATAATCAAACGTTTTTGGTACATTCAGTACTGGCCTATGTCAGACTTTGCGATTGGAGCGATTTTGCACCAATTGCAGGAGCGACGGATCGCTTGAGCGATGCGAGCGACGGGAGATTTACACCGCCGACCACCGATAATTTGGCGCCATCAGTTCGTAAATCTCCCGTCGCTCGCATCGCTCAGAAGCCAATGTCAGACTTTTGCGAATCGCGTTAATCGCTAGTAGAGATCTGCGCGCATTTTCGCAATGCTCGGGGCATTCGACCTCAAGCGATCCGTCGCTCCTGCAATTGGTGCAAAATCGCTCCAATCGCAAAGTCTGACATCGGCCACTATGCGCAACTTTGTACTTTACTGTTTACTCACATTGCAAGTCCTTCTCACGTACTACGACTACCACTTGAAACAGTCCGGTACGAATCACATAGGTGAGTAGCCGGTGCTGGTTTGGGTCTCAGGGTTTGCTTGTTTTGCAGCGCTCACAGCTCTCACAATGCACCCTTTCACATTACAGCATCTCGCTTTCTTTTTTCCTTCAAAGGCTTAGTATTAGTAATATAACACGCTTTTCCAAACCCTCCCCCCTTTGGTTGACAGAAGAATGGAACCAGTTTGCGCACTAAGACTTCCTAACCCCGTCGTTGGTAGAAGCATGTCATTCCGAGCACGTGCACAACTATTGATTTTAGTTAATGGTTTCCGTGCTGCTTCATAATCTGTTATCTAGTTGATTTTTGGAAGAAACATAAAGCAGAGAAAAGGTGACAACTCACGTCCTTTATTTTCTTCTCCAAAAAATCCTGCTTTTTTATGAGCATTTCCTCTGTTTCCCGTAATTTCTGAATCGCATCCTGAGTTGATGGCGCCACCTCCTGCTTCTTTCCCCCGAAAATCTTACCAAACAAGCTCATCTGGAATAAGAACAGTTTTTTGTGAAGTACTAAAGGTTAAGCATAAAATGATCGAGCTAAAATAGAATAAAGGATGGGCCAACACGAAAAAAACATCAAGAAAAACATAACCCCCTGAAACCTTGTTAGTTTTGGAACCTGGACGAGGTTTAGCGCCGGAGAGCCTTTTCTTTGGCATCAACTGATGAGTGTGCTTTACCCAAGAGACAGAAATGAAGAATGAAGGTCAAAAGCACGGCGGTGGTTGAGAAATAAGCGGCGTGATTCAGAAAAGTAGTGACGTCATCAGTTGGACCAGTGCCACTGCGTAGCTGCCCGCGTCCTATAACATCTGTCGGCCTGCTACGCAGTTTGAATTTTACACTGTTTCGTTCCGAATTTTCTCGCTTTCGAGCATTTTCTTGTATGGTTTTTCATTGAATGAAGTCATAAGGAAGTCATCAGTTGGAACTAATAAGCTATAATTAGGACAGAGCAGTGTTGGAGTTGGATATCCGTGCCGGTTAGCGCTTTCTCGTTCATTTGCTCACAGGCATAAAATCGATAATTTGTTTGTTTGTCTCGTTCGGGTGAAGGTGTATCACGAGTGCCTTCCTGTTTCGCCATTAAACTAACCCTATCTCATCATCCTTATTTTTCAGAAGTTCTATACTCTCAAGTGGGAAACATGGATAGGAAAGCCATCGTCGAAAAGATCAAGAAATTACAGGCAAATGCTGAGAATGTTCAGCTTGGTGGCAAAGTGAGTGCGCAATGGTATTTTGGACCTTCAGATAGTTAATCATCTAATTGCAAATGGTGGTCTTTTTTGTCAACTTAACGCATTCAGCATGTTTTTTTTGGGACTACTTCACTGAGGGGACATTTAGTGCCGAGCACGTGGGGCTTTCAAAGCCCATTCAAAATCTTCCAGTGGATAAGGTTCAGGGGAAGTAGTGCTCACATAGCTTGCCCTTTGCGCCAGCGAGATGTCCCACCCGCGCCGGACCTTCCTTCTTTGCGGCAATTAGGATTACTCTGCCCGGCACAAACTCCTGCAGCCCGTTTTCAGTGAATTTGACATGTTTTTTTTTCGTAATTAGATGTTTTAGACGGCTTCACACAGCAAGTGCTGTCCTATGAAATGGATTATAGTCGTTTAGGGAACCCCTAGACGAAAGAAGAAGATTGTCTTCAAGACCGCCGCCGCTGACGACAAAAAAGTTCAAAGCAATTTGAAGAAACTTTCAGTGACAAATATTCCCGGTATCGAAGAGGTTTGAGTTTTTCGCAACTTTTTCTGCATCATCTTCATCTTGCATTTGTTTAAGACTAACCGCTTCAGGTTAACATGATCAAAGACGATGGAACGGTCATTCATTTCAACAATCCGAAAGTTCAAGCATCTGTTCCTGCTAATACGTTCTCGATCACTGGAGCTGGAGAAAACAAACGTTTGTTTTACCTTATTGGGAACGATTTTCCCACTCGGTCTATTGAATCAATTGCGTATTAGTTGGTGTTTTCAGAGATTACTGATATGCTTCCTGGAATACTTAATCAACTTGGACCAGAGTCGCTCACTCATCTTAAGAAATTGGCCAATAATGTTACAAGTCAATTCAAACCTGCGCCTGCTGATGACGATGTTCCAGGTATTGCTTGTCACTAAATTAGTGCCAATTTCGGGTCTACGTTAGGGGGCATCACGATGCAGTTTTTTTCAGAAAGTTGCGGTAACTCTGAGCCAGGGGGGTGTAGGCAGTCTAGGGGAGTGGTCGACGAACTACTTGAACTCGGTCCTTTAAGCCGCCTCAACTCGATGCTCTCGTCTGCGCTCTCTCGCCTTATCAGCGGCTCATGACCACTGTGATCTCACACATTCAAACTTTTGCCACACTGTAATTGGCTCACCCACCTCGGAGTCCCTCCCCCTCCAAGGCTTAGTCCTAGGCTCTCACCTCCTTCCTTGGGATTTGGAGCCGAGCCAGGCGCCGTTCTCTAATTGTCTGTGCTCTCCGCCATTCGTGGCAGGACCATAGAGGAAAGCTCAAGTAACCTGTAAACCTTAGGGGGGGGGGGGTGGTGGAGGGTGAGGCAAATCACTTGACATGCGTGAAAAGATGGAATGTTCGAGTTCACTCTAGTTCCGAGAAAGTGCATCATGATGCTTCTCCCCCTTACTGGAATAGGCTCCTAATTCCCAATCACACTTAAAGTCAAGACGTCTGTTGCCTACCTCATTAATTTGAGCAATCTCGAGTTTGACTTCCACGTATATGGTACGGAGGGACGTCTTGGGGTTCTACGTGGTGACATTTCTGAGCCGGTTTCAGTACATTATCTGTGCTTATTATTTTTCAATGGAATTTTATGTGCTTTGTCAAAATTCGAGAGTAGCTTAGCGCGCGAGAACAAATTCGATCCGTCACATGTTCACACTAAATCGTTGAGGGAGCAAGTTAGCGCGCCTGAAGGGAATTCATATCGATAACCTTCTTAAGGCCAACTGATTTCTTTGGTCCAGCTATAACTCCATTTCATCACCTCGGAAAATCCGCAAAACAATAGGTACTAATAGGGAAAACCGGGTTACGGGAAGCAGAGAACACGAAATCAGAGAAACTGATGGATTCCCTATCAATTCGATTGACATCACGCCCTAGGCATTTTGCGATGATCAAATGGTCGCTGTTTCCATCCTCATTCCCCTTCTCCCTCCTCGCCCATCCTCACATCTACCTTTTTGCGGATTTTTCGTGATTGTCCTGTATGGCGCCAAGTGTTACAGTGTATATTTTTCCTCACAAGGGTCTTTCGATGAAGGATAAAAGGATAAAGCATTTGCCGTTGATCAATCCCTTTTTGGGATGCGGCACGCATTCTACCCATTTGTACATTCGCAGTGGCGTTTGAATGCGATGTGGCCTATACAATGACTTGCGGGGGCCAGCCGATGTTCAAGTCAGTGTTTTTATCCTCCCAGACAAGTCTGGTACCAATTAACCGACCCCGGAGGGATGGAAGGCTTGGTTGGCCCGGGCGACTCACGACCCAGGATTTGATCCCGGACCGCTCGCGTGGTGCCACTTGCCACTGCACCACTTGACTTTTCGATAGATTAGTGGGTTGAAGCGGAGGGGAACCGCGACATCATGTACAGCCTGGGGATATCTTTCATCGAATTCTGTGGACACCTCTCAAGCCTCTGTCGTTCTGCGGCCTGGACTTTAGTGGACCAATTTGTTTTCCTACAGATATTTAGTCAAAGTTGAGGTTTTCACGCTTGTTTTACGCTGGTTACTTTTTTTGCGGTTTTGTGCGTGAAGAGTGGAAAGCGAACAAAGTTTGCAATGCAATTCGTAAATGTTTTCTGATATTTAATAACTGAACGTCTTTGTAGGGGTCGAAATGACATTCACACCTTGAAGTCCATGCAGCTCATATTTGGGCTGCAGTTCGTAGACCGCGTAGGACCTTTCAGCTCACATTAAGGATACGAAGTTATTACGTTTTCTCATATTTCCCTTCACTGTTGCATCAATCATAGGTTTTTCTTTCCTATCTGCTAGATAAGATTCCTGAAGAATGTGACTGAGGTCCTACTTGGCCGCAAAACGTAAAACATGAGTGGGATCTAACGTGTTCAACATCTCCCCTTGACTTTAGATCTCAAACAAGTTGGCACATTGTTGGTTCCGTTGGCATGTATTATATGTGTTTTGTTTCAGATCTCGTAGGGGACTTTGACGAGGCTTCAAAGAACGAGGCGAAAGCTGAGGAGCAAAAGGCTTAAGTCAAGGATTCCGGTTTCCCCGTTGAGAACAAGAAAGTAAAACTCTGCAGCCGTCGTTAATTTCAATCATTCGCGCTCATATGTTCTGGGAGGCGTCTTCTTTTCCGTATCTCTACAATGATTTTCCATCCTGTTGTAACTGTTGGACCCTTCTCCCATGTATGTTCAGCGTTGTTTTTTCGTTGGTTCTTGTTTTGTATACAGATTTTATAAAATTTCAAAATTGGCTAATAAATTGTTAGCTTCATGTCGCGTTGTTGCGCATTTGTTAATTTCAAACATTAGTGGGAGCTTTATATCATCCGTAGTGTCACAGTTAGCTGAGCTGATCCCATACTTGTTAGGTGCCGGTCGCAGTTCTCTTTAATGATGTCATTTCCAAAATAAAGTTGGCAGTTAAAAAACAACGAGGGTTTGTTCGTTGGTGTGCGGCCACATTGTACCTAGTCAGGCTGTTGAATGCCAAAATCCTGTCAAAACTTCTTTTTTTTTCAGGTTTTTCTAGATTGATGAGCTTCTCAAACATCTATTCAAACTTCTTTCTCTGAAAGGGTCAGTTCTTCGGAGATTCTCTCAGATGACCTTAGCATGCATTCGCAACAATGTGATGGATGATATGCATTTTTCAACGCGTTTGGCTTAGGATCTGTTCGAAGATTAGGAAAAGATAGATCAGTTTCACTGGACGGGTCTTTTCATACTCGTTAAGCCGTTTCATATTCAGTTCAATCCACGGCTAGAACTGCTTCTATCATTGTCTGTCCTGCCTAATCTTACCGATCAGTAAGAAATCAAAATGGTATATTTCAAATTATGCGCTATTAATATCCGCTCATTACCTTCCGGACCGTCACTCAGAGGGAAAAGTAGCATCTCTGCTCTTCATTGTCAGCTACTTGTGCAGGTAGCTCGCTGGCAGCCGCCGCGATCTCACCTTCCCTGCTTCACGCCTTTCGCTGTGCAGATTGTGAGATGAAGACCTCATACGGATGCGTAGTGCAGGAAAGGCTCTGTTATATAGAAAAATCTGACACATTCACGAGTGTATAACCACGCACACTAATTTGTTAGGCTAGGCTGATGGCGTTGGTTTCGCTCCCTTCCAACTTCTGTTTTCCTTCCCTCCGGTCCTCCAAGTCAATGACGTCATATGTCAGTTCTTCAAGGTGCTATCTACTTAGCTCATAAACACACTCCAACTGCGTAATAACTTCGTATAGCATACATTATAGTGTGTTATCGCGAATCATGACATCACGCTGCAGTCATACTTCAACATTGACTCGGAATTTGTTTATTTGTTGGCGCCTGGTGCTTTCTCCCACTGCTGCCCTCTGCTCTGTGGGGGCTCTATGGGATGGCCGAGAATGTATTCGTCTTGTGTGGTTCATGTAGCTCCAGTGGGTCTTCTTGCGATGGTCATGCTCTTAAGGGCTCGGTATTCGAAATTCCTCTCCGCAGGTTTATATTATTACCCCTACTCTGATCAATCCTTCTTAGGTCTTTGTCTACAAAATGCAGGTGCGTCATTAGGACCGTAGACAGTATCCGTGTGTTTTCCTACGTCTGCCAGGAAACAGTTAGGTAAATGATCTGTCGCGTACATTGTGAACATTTGGGATTTATTTAATATCGCGATGAGAGTATTCTGTTCGGTCCGGCTTCCAGTGGGAGTGTAGATGGACGTCATAACTGACTTGGCAGTGTAGAAAAGCAGTGAGTATATTGGGTCCCTATGGCGCAACACCTTGTATCTGCTCCCTTTCCAGAGATTTGAATCATAAGAAGAGGGGGAATATAGTCCCCGCGGGAAGGATTGAATTACCAGCTCCCGCAGGTACGCACTGCTACCGCGAAGACTTGCAAGTCGTTCCAGTTTATATCATAGCGGCTTGAGGGCTTCTCCTAATTCATTTTAGCTCCACTGGGTTCGATCTTGGTCATTTCGCACAATCGTTTTCTATGGCGGGACGGTGAGTGTTCTTTTGTTTCGGTTTGTTGTTTTTTACTGAGATTGATGCTCAGTACAGCACATCTTGATTGTGTAGCAGGTTATGTTATAATGAAAGAACGATTTAAAGTATGTGGGACTGTGCTTAGGCCTCGCTGTTTGTTAGGCCGATTACTTACCTACGCTGTTTTTCTAGATACTCCCATTCCCATCGCGTGTCAGTAACTTCCATTCCTATTAGCAACTTAGGCTGGATCTGCGTTAGAACCGGAATAATTATATAAATGGTAGATAGTGAGTTCTGAAGTTGAGTTATGAAAGATCCTGCGTTGAGAGGAGCACTTTAACGAGGACGCCTTAGTTGAACACCCTAGATGCGGTATGGCTTTCAAATAATTGAGTGAAGTCTCTAGGTTAGAAGAAGTGATCGTAGGCGAGCTATACCTGCTTATTCTCGAGCCCGGTTTAGATATTTGCGCATTTCAAATGATTGTCTCGCTTTGACGAGTATCTACTTTCTCTCTGTAATTCAACTCGGCGACTGGATCGCTGTCCGATCTTCGTTCTTACACTTTTTTTTGAAGTTTGTCTGTAAGGTAAAATTGGGCCCGGTTGGCCTCCAGGGTGCGAGTTTTAGTGAAATGAGAGCGTAGGTCTGGAGCCCCCGGATCGAATAAAGTTAATGATTCAAATGCGTCTTGCCCGGCCGAAATTCTCAGAAGCGGCTCCATTCGCTGTGGATCCGCTCGATGCGGCTGGTTTTTCCCAACTTCTCGAATCAGCTCTAAATAAGAACGATAGTGACAAGAAGCAAGATGTCATTGGAGACTATTTCATTGCTCCACAGATGTTTGAGTAGGTTTTTTTTCTGTTTCCTTTTATATTCTTTCGAGCAGATAATGAAAGCTGTGTTATGGAGTCTCTGAGATAAGGTGTAGACACGGGATAGCGGCTGATTTGGCTATTCGCGCGCATGTTTCGAGGGGCGGATCCCGGGTTGTGTGTTGTCTGTGGCAGCTGTGAAACGAATGCATGGCGCATTCCAAAGGAAAATAATCAGATCTGAGCGGATTACTTTATCATTTATCCTTACACATGGTTCGTAGCGTTATTGCTGTGTGCTATCCAGCCTCCTTCATCTTATCAGCTGCTTGCAGGAATATATATCTCGGTGAAACGTTCACCTTCTATGTCAACTGCACTAATGAGAGCGACCAGAAAGTTACAGATGTGACCGTCAAGGTATGCTGGTTTGAAATATTGGCCAGCTGTACTAATACCGCTAGCGTTACTGGTTTATTTTCGGGACCCCTATCTTTCCTAGAGTAGAGGTTTAAGCTCTATCGTTCTTAGATAATTTTCTCTTCTTTGATCTTTGCAATTGTGCACAAAGTGGCTTTATCTTGAAGTTCTATCCGGTACTGCAGCTTTCTCATGACTTCCTGTACTGTGTAAATCGCATACTTGGCTAGCCATGCTAATATCTCCAGTGGTTCAGCTTTTTTTTCTGTGTCTACCTGAAACGGAAATATACCGACCATTGCTATGAAACAATAGCAATACACATTTTTCGTATTCGTATGTCAAATCATATTTTATTCTAGTGCGATCTGCAAACGAATAGTCAAAGAGTGAGTTTAAACTCGAACATCCACGAAGTTGTTTTGGAAGGAGGAAAATGCTCGGGCCAAATTATCAGCCACGAAGTCAAGGAAATTGGACAACATATGTGAGTCATGCTCCTTTCTTATGTGCAATAGCTTCGTTGTATCACGACACTGCCAAAACTTTTCGTGTAGCATTCGTCCATCTGGTGCCTGAGGCCATATTTCAGGTAGCGTTCATAGCTGCTGTAGTGTTCAGAGGGCCGGTTAGCGAGATAAGGTTCCAGTAAAAGATAGATATTGATTAGGGATCGTGAAATGTGCTACATGGGTGGAATACGTGGATTCCGCCCAAGTCCCACGTTCCACGATCTCCCAATGGCTATCTATGAACGCTGGCTCACGGCTTACGAAACTGAAGCAGTTCTTTTTTTTTACGGATTCCTACAATCTTGTTTCCATGACAACAACTGATTCAGACTTATCTGCTCGGTGAACTATAAGACGTCTTCCGATGAAAAGATGTACTTCCGGAAATTTATCAAGTTCCCCGTTAGTAAGCCGATAGATGTGAAGACCAAATTCTACAACGCTGAGGTGAGAGTTACTTATTATATCATAACGCCTTAGTTTTTTTCTCTCTCGAAGCGCAAGTGCTCTATCGTAGATTAGTCGTCAGCAATTGAACAAGAACTTTTCGAACGCACGTGTGGTTGCGGTGCGGCATTGCTAATAAAGTGATAAATATAAAGTGCTGATTATCATTCCAAGAAGAAGGCGATACAGCACCACCGCACTCGCCGCCTTCGTAAGCGCGTTACGGGGATCTACTGCGTAACCACTGGATGGAGAAACAGTTCTTCGATTCCCTTCTTCGAAAGATGCGAAGAGCTTTGGTGGAAGCTGCAGTGGAGTGTCGGCGACTTTTCATAGGGTAGAGTGGGGTAGGGAGGTGGTAGGGCGCGCACGTACTAAACTAGAAGTGCTTTTCTTGAGCGGCTGTCTAACGTTGCATAGTACGTTTCGTTATTTTTTTTATCTTAATTTTCATCATTGGGTTGATCTCTTAGTTTGGCGCTGTAGTCAAAGGGTTTAGGAGCAAATGAGTACCTGAGGCCGTAAGACTACAATATCCAAGTTTTCGTGGCTACCACGACTGATTCTTTTCCTATTGTGATTATTTACAAATGGTGGATGAAAATTCGTCATCAATGCTCTTTTCCGCTTTCTTTTGTTCCACGTATTCGGTTATTTACCTTCTGCTCATTGGTGATTGTGTTAGTTAGCCTTATGTTTGCTGTGCTGTGGTGTTCCCTTGATCTGATTGTTGTCTTTCCATGCATGCCGGATGAATTGATGGGTGTGTTGATGGTGTGATTTCAGGATAACTCGGTACGTTACCTATTCAATTTGCTTTATGTTTTGTGCAAATGCATGGATTGTTTAGAGAATTCAAGGTTTTCTGAAGTAATCTTATCATTTCGTATTTTGCAGAATAACGATGTTTATCTCGAAGCTCAAATCGAAAACACCGCCGCTACTGCGATGATTCTCGAGCGTGTAGAGTTGGAACCAAGTCCTAATTATACGGTTACTAGTATTCACTGCGGGTAAGTTGTTAGAAAAGGGCTTTTTGTAGCAATTCTTTCAAAACCCGCAGTTCTTCTTGTGCAGCCACGGACTTGCTATGGATAATAAAAGTATTATAAGTGGTTGTAATTGCTATATTTTTAGTGATGCAGAAGAACTTTCTGGGATGTACCTAAAACCTCGTGATATACGCCAATTTCTCTTCTGTCTTACTCCCAAGGATGCTCCCAGTAGTGTGTGGGTTCTCACAGTTTTCATTGATCAAGAAAAGACTTGAATTAATGATATTCTTTCTACTTTCCAGATATAAGGATATGACCAACATAGGCAAGCTGGATATGTCGTGGCGAACGAGTATGGGTGAGCGAGGCCGTCTTCAGACTAGTCCTTTGCAGAGAATTGTGAGTTAAGGAATGTTTCACATTATTCTTTTGGCTAAGGGTTTAGCGTGGCAAAATTCAGAATTTTTCAT